AGGCATGGTTGACTCTTAACTTTTATAAAGAATATCTCTTTGGATTTGAGACTTTAGTCTTTGCAACTTTACAGATCTTCATGCACCAAGAGCTTGTAACACTCCAAAGAGAAAGGAACAATTTTGGGTGAACTATCCCTAATAAACCTTGTCAACAAGAGATACTGCAATTGATCATGACTTTTCATTTGTCTGCATTACTAATGTCAATGAATTTATATCAGTAAAAAACATTGAATTTCAACAGTGTCTGTCCACTTTTTCAGTGGCCTTGGTTCTGGAAATATTTTTCCCATTCTTTTTTCTCCACAGGGATTTTTTAAAAGTTTATGTTAAAGAGTTATAAACCATGAACCAAACCAACCAGATACAAGGTGAATCACATTGTTACAAACTGAAGCTAAAAAGTATTTGAAAATCAAACAAAAAGACAAGACTGTATACTTGAAGGCTATAATGAGGGAAAGAACTACAATCTCATGAAGAAACTAACAATCAAATAAAAATGGCAGCTAAATACTAAAGTTAAAACTATTGATTTACTGGATAAAACTATTGTTTTAAAAATGTTCAGTGAATGTTCAAAAATGTTTAATATGCCTAATCAAAAATTAAGTTTTTATATATTTACAGTAGGAAATTTACAAAATATCTTCATGGAACATGATCTTTACTTAATATCCTAATGATTTTTGGCATCAAATAAAAATCAATAATTTTGACCCATACAATGTATTTTTGGCTATTGCTACAAATATACCCCAGCGATTTAAGACTGGTTTTGTGGTCCAGGGTCACATATACAAATATCTACGTCGTTTGAGAGCAACTCTATCTAAAGTGAAAGAGTTCTTTTGATGTGATTCTCTAATGTGGAGATTCTGCTGAATCATGGATAATATAGTTTTCCACTTGGAATTTTGCTGTTAAACACGATTATTTAAAAACTAAGTTAAATTAATGTGGGCTGATGGCTTCAACAAAAGCATGTACCACTGATTAACAACCTTGTAGCTCGAAGTAGTTCTGTCTTGAAATGTTTACAAGTTATTGTTAAAAATTAATCCCCTTGTTAATGCCCAAATACTTAAAGTAAAGTACACATGTTTTGCACAATACTTACTGCATCATAACCACAATGTTGTGCACCTTGATGCTCTGCAGGGTACAGTAGTCACTGGAAAACAGAGGAAGTTGAAAAGGTCTGCCAGGAAAAAAATATATATATTTATTACGCCTTACGCTTTCATGTATGAAAAGTGTGTAAACTTACTACATATAGCTCATTTCATCTGCAATAGTGGTGGGCACCATGTAGTCAATCTGACAAAAAAAAAAAGCGAAGCGGAAGTATTACAAAATACTTTGTTTATATATGCTTAAAAAACATGCCTATTTTAACCGCTAGTGCAAATACAGCTCTACCTGCTTCATATCCAGAGGGCCAATAGTGGTTATGTTGCTAATGCGGGTTTTTCCTATCACAGTCTTGGAAAACTGCACCTGGGCTGTGATGTTGGCCACGTCCACCGAGTAATAGTTGTTGTTAGTAATATTCAATGAGTTCTTTAAAAGAAAGAAAGACAAATAAACAGGCTGAATTATCAAAGCTAAAGTACAACTTCAAGGGTTAAAGGTCAATAAAGGCTGGAATACACTCCAAGACTTTTGCCCCCGTTTACAGTCTGAAGGAGTCAATGCTTGCTGCCTAAAGTCAGAACCAGTCTGCAGATTTTTGGGCAGTCAGAGCTGACAGATTTCCTAGAAAACTGTATAGTGTATGATGGGCACAGACTCTGATTTTATAGCTTCAGGCTATGAATCCATTCATTCAGAAGATATCAAAAGTTTGATATTTTAAACCAATTTTAGAACACATATTGATTTCATTTGTCACACATCTGGATTCATAGGAGGCACATATCCAATACCATCAAAACTATTTAGAACAGAATATTTAATAAATAATAGAACAGAATCTTTAATAGAAAATCAAATCTTTTACAGAAAATGCAATATAACAAAATCCTGAATAGAGAAATCAGAATCTTTAGAAACAAACCAAACGGAAACTTTAGTAGAGAATCAAATACAACAAAAACCCTTTACAGATAAGTGAATAGAATAAAATTGGTCTTTAACTGAATCTTTAATTGAGAACCGAATAGACCAGAGTATTTAATAGAGAATCAAATCGATGACCAGATGTCTTCCCAAATTGTCCCATTTTCTTCTTGTTTTTATTCGTTGACAAAAATCTCAATAGATTTCCATTAGTTTTTGACATTAAAAAAAAATTTTTTTTAGCTTATTGTCTCATTTTAATGGTGAAAAAATGTTGTTGACAAAAATGATTTGTCAATGAAATGAAGTCTACAGATTTCAGGCAAATTTCTAAGAAAATCACAGTGTATGATGGGCACAGATTCTGATTTTTTAGCTTCAGACTGTGATTCCATCCAGTCAGGAGTATATCAGACATGTTCAATATTTTGAGCCAATTTTAATACACATATTGTTTGTCATGCGTCTGGTTTCATCGGAGGCACGTGTTTCATGTTTTTGCATGAGCGTCTTGTGTTCGGTACAACCTGAAAGTCTGTTAGTGTGTGATCCTCACTTGTTTTTTTAGTGTATGATGCCCAGTTTTTCCTCTGTAACCATTTTACAAATTTGCAAATGTATGACTCTGTGTTTTAAAATTCCATTAAATTGAAATTCATGAAATTCATTCCAGCCAAATGACAACCGAATTGTCTTTTTTGGGATCTCTAAATTTTCCTCCTGAACCAGATACAATGTCAAACACTTTTAAAAGCATCATTTTTGTCAGGTGAGTTCAGTGATAATTGCTCTGCAGGAACTTACAGTGACATTGAGATACACAATGCGTTTGCTCTGGTCATAGGACACGTAGACAGACTTCACTCCCACATAGTTGACATCAATGGAACGTGGGAAAAGAAAGAACACAGCCAGGCTGGAGAGCAGCAGGCACACAATGACTGAAGCAGTCACATACAGCTTGCTGTGAGACATACATAACATAGATTTAGTCAGAGAGTTCAATCAGTATTCTATAACATAAAACAAACGCAAGATCTTTAATAGCTTCAAGAAAGGATTGAGACTGGAGCACTAAGTAACTGGTTTAACAAAATGCATCAGGATAAAAATCTTTCAAGGTTTCTTACGTTCTCCTGGGTCTCAGCCTCTGGTCGCTGTATGGGATCAGGGCCACCAGCTGATTTTCTTGACCTCCATACACACGTCAGTGTGTGTCACATGGTGTAAATTTTTTTAGTGAGAGATGACATTTCAGATTGGGTTACTTTTAAACATTTCAATTAACAGGAACTCTCTAGACGAAATGTTCTAAACCGAGTTTAAAAATGTACCTCGCGGGATCCTTCCAGTGCCTTGGCATGTGGGGCAGGTGACGCTGTCTCGGCCAGTGAACTCCACGTAAGGGAACTGAGACACGTCTCCCCTATTCTTACTGTCATCAGTCTGCATGGCGCTGTACCCGGGCGATGAAGTCAGGCTGTCCTTACACTCATCATGACAGGTATGCTTCGGCAGGTGGGAAAGAGCCTTCCCCATTTTTCACACCTGGTGATAAGAGCAAAGTTTTAACATGGGTGAAAAATGCATATTATATACACTGAACAAAATTATAAACGCAACACTTTTGTTTTTGCCCCCATTTTTCATGAGCTGAACTCAAAGTTCTAAGACTTTTTCTATGTACACAAAAGGCCTATTTCTCTCAAATATTGTTCACAAATCTGTCTAAATCTGTGTTAGTGAGCACTTCTCCTTTGCCAAGATAATCCATCCACCTCACAGGTGAGGCATATCAAGATGCTGATTAGACAGCATAATTATTGCACAGGTGTGCCTTAGGCTGCATGGCCACAATAAAAGGCCACTCTAAAATGTGAGCCTAAGGCACACCTGTGCAATAATAATGCTGTCTAATCAGCATCTTGATATGCAGCACCTGTGAGGTGGATGGATTATCTCGGCAAAGGAGAAGTGCTCACTAACACAGAATTAGACAGATTTGTGAACAATATTTGAGAGAAATAGGCCTTTTGTGTACATAGAAAAAGTCTTAGATCTTTGAGTTCAGCTCATGAAAAATGGGGGCAAAAACAAAAGTGTTGCATTTATAATTTTGTTCAGTGTATATGATAAAACCAGGGTTAAAATCAGAATGCCTAGAAAAATACTCTGCATATCCAATATCACCCAAACTATTTAGAACAGAATATTTAATAAAAAAATATATAAAATATAATCTTTAACAGAGCATGTAATATAATGAAACCGTAAAAAAAGAATCAGAATCTTTAGAAACAAACAGAACAGAACCTTTAATAAAGAATTAAATAGAATAGAACCTCTTTGAGAATCAAATACAACAGAAACTTAAGTGAATAGAATATAGTAGAACTTTCACTCAATAGTGAAACATAATAGAATCTTTAACAGAGAAATAAATAGAACAGAATCTTTAATTGAGAACCAAGTAGACCAGAATATTTAATAAAGAAACAAACAGAATGGAATCTTGAATAGAGAATCCGAACAGAATATCTAATAGAGAAACGAATAAAACAGAATATTTAATAGAGAATCAATTCGAATAGAATCTTCAGCAGAGAATCAAATACAACAAGACTATTCAACAGAGAATCGAATAGAATGGAATCTTTAGGAAAGAATCGAATATAACAGAATCTTGAATAAAGAATCGGAACAAAATATCTAATAGAGACACGAGTCACGACAAGAACAGAATATTTAAAAGAGAATCAATTAGAATAGAATATTTAGCAGAGAATCAAATACAACAAAATATTCAACAGAGAATCGAATACTTTAACGGATAGAAGAATAAAAAATAACCTTCAACAAGTAATCGAACAGAATAAAATATTTAATACAGAAACGGAATAGATTATTTAACAAAGAAATAAATAGAACAGAATCTTAATTGAGAACCCAATAGTACATGACATTTAACGATCTCAGATGAGATTCCTAATGAAAAAAAAAAAAGATGTGAAACCTAGCAACACTTCATATCATTATACGGATAACTGTATCTTATACAATAACGTTACATGGCTGAAACGGTCATGCCTATAAGAGAGTACGTTATAACTAAGAAAATAAACACGATGTCAGCAAGTCCCAGATCAGACATCGATCAGGCTTATGTTTCAGAAGAAAGTACGAAGTAAAAAAAAAAAAAAATGATAGAAGGCCATTGGTAGGCCTGGACACATGAGTTCGTACGCGAGCATCGCTAATGCCTGGTTGGCTAAAAACAAAGCTAAGGTAAAGGCGCAGCGGGCTAGTTTGCTCGGAACCAGTTGATAAATGCAATGCCTAAGATTAAAATGGGCTTGCCTCATACCACATATGAATATTTCTGTAAACGATGCTGTTCTTACCTGAATGAATTAATGTACGTGAGCGCGGTGGTCATGCAGTTGTCGTGTATCTTTTGCACTGACATGCGCAGTACGTCGTTAGACTGGACACAAAATACAGCGAAGGCTTAAGCTCATGAATATTAATTATTTATAAGCCATCAGACAATAATTGCTTTGCAAATTAACAAAACTTTAACAACGTATGTAAATGCACTTATATGATATGTAAACATTACCATAGGACATTTGTGTGTGTGTGTGTGTGTGTGTGTGTGACCCCTGATGTTTGAAAAACACAGCCTACATGGGCACATAACACGTTTTCATACCTTTACAAGATTTTAAAAAGAATGCTAAAAATTACATATTGAAAATAGAAAATGACGAGGCTAAAAGTGAGCTGTGATGAATTACAGTATAGTATCATTGTATTTTAATTAATAATTTATAAGCTAATATTAATCAAATTTGATGTTTTGTAGTATTACGTTCTGATCCCATTTAGTTTTTTTTTTTTTTTTGGTATAAAGTTTATACTAGTTTAGTATAATCTAAATTTATGCTAAGTTTAGTTCTTAAAAATTAGTAATTTATTTTTTATTTTATTTTTTTCCCCTTTAAGACTGGTCATAACTTTGTAAAGTCAGTTACATAAAAAGGTAGATTGGTCTATTTTTATTTTTAAATCAAATTAGACCAAATTAGATTATTATTTTTTTGTAGTGAATGTCTTTTATTGTATTAGGCTACTGTCTATTGTATTGTTTGTGTTGTGTGTACACAACTTGTTCACTGAACTTGTTCACTGCAACCTAATTTACCTAAGGGTACAAAAAAAAGTAACCTGAAACCTGAACTTGGTTAACCACTACTTGGTCAAACTACTAAGACACAGTCTTAACATAGTGGCTATGTTTATACAACTGGCCCCAGCTCTGTAAATTCTGAACATGAACACTCCTTGCATGGCTGTAAATAATGTTCCTTCTGGCACTGTCGTCCAGTATGCCCTATAATATGAGGGAGTGGGCTTCAGGACAGAAAATGAACATATTCTCCTGTGATGACCAAATGCATCTTTACAAGGTCAAATAAATAGACTCGGGGAAAGACTAGAGGGGAACATTGACAGTGGCTGCAGAAGGGAGGGAGGGAGATCCCGTCCGGTCCAGCAGTGATTTCTCATCCTCCCGCTTACGTCTTTGACTCCGCCTCTCCACTGCCCTGCCTTGAGCTCAGAGTCTCGGTGCCCCTCTCCACAGCAGCGGACGGAGCCAACCACCATTCGCCGCTGCCGCTGCTTTTCCGTGCTGATCTACTGATACAATGGCTTCCGATGGTGTGGATGAACGATCCCCGCTGTTGTCAGCACCGAACACGCCCACCGCTTCACCGTATCTGCAGGACTCGAGCCCGAGAGGTAAATGTGGATAGGGATTGACGTAGGAGTGCTGAATCATTTAGGGCGTATAGTAGTGAGCGGGGATCTGTAGCAGCCTACAGCCCATTTAATATGAGACATTGTCTGTAGACGACAAGGAATAACAGCTCAGATGGTCGTGCCTGAAGAACGGGCCTCGATCTGCCTGATATTGCCATCGCAGCCTCATGTGATGGGTACAAAATGTTGCGTTCCTGGACAAACAGTCTGCTTTATCGGTTATTAAACGACGGCTCGACTGACACCGGTTCAGCCGGATATTGTATGGATATTTCGAGGTAGCTGCATTTAAGATGAGGGAGTTGACATCTCGCTTGCTAGAGATGTTGTTTTGCTTTCATTCATAGACATCTGGACCAATCCCCATCATCATATAGGCCCAGACCACATTATACAGATTCTATAAGCATATTAAACATTAGAAGTCATCAAAACACTTGTTTACTCCTACATAAGACGCACTGCTAATAGTAAACAACATAAAGGAGGCACAAGGAAAGATGACAATTTATTAACGATTTGGTGAGCAGAAAAACTGTGAAGAGTGTGCAGTTTTTGTTTTTGAAGGGATGATTTTAGATAAATTCTTACTTTGCTACAGTAATGCTGGTGACACTTTATTTTAGTGTCATTGTTACATGTAGCTACTTACTATAGAAGCAACAGTAAATTATGAATAATTATAAGCAACTAATCCTAACCCTATAGTAAGTGCATGTTGTTAATTAATGTTACTCAGTACTTATTTGTGTAATTACACTGTAATGAGGACACCTTAAAATTGAAATGTTACCATAATGCTTTTCTCAGGGATTGTTAGCAGAGCCACCATAGGCATGCAGGCAGCATAGTGGTCAATCAATATGGGGTTTTCAGTGATTGATTTCTAGACTTTTACTTTAATTTCCTCTAATCATGAATAATTGGTTGTGTATTTGATTGCTAGGCTGTAATGAGACATCAAATCCAAGTGAGGATGGCAAAAATTGAACAGACAGTTCCACCTTTTACCAGTCTGAATAGGAAGCGAAGCACATTTGATGGTATATTTTACATATTATAAACATTTCTTTACATATTTAATAATAAAACCAGTTTGTGAGGTGAACTGAAGAAATGAGGGCCTTGTGAACTGAAGATTTTCAAATAAATTGATTAATAAGAGCCCCAAAGACTGTTTTAGGCAAATTCACAAGGAAATGTGGGCATCAGATTTCCGCATGGACCCACTAAACAGATATCGTTAATTAATAAGGTTTTTCATTGGCCAATACAGATAACTAGAAGAAAAGAGCTAATATAATACTGACATATAGCCTATGTAATATAAGCTAGTACTATTTACTTATAGCAATTCTGAGATGTAAATTAAACAAGCTTTTTTTTAAACATGCAATACATATTTGAAATTCATTGAAATATTTGAAAACAAAGGAAGGACTTGCTTCTGAGACTTATAGCCTGTAATCTCAAAATGACCAATTGTCTTTCTAAACAGTCTGTCACCCCATATTTGCTCTTTTGTAACTCTATCCATATTGCACTTCCTGATTAGCAGAAAAAGATTTACGTTTTTACTGTAATGATCCGCTTACACTTCATCTCATTATTCATAATGGCTATTTCATCGTACCATGATCAGGTGATGTGGACGGCGTAAACTATGTGTGCTAATGTACTCTAGCATTGTCTGACCTAGTATTTCAAACCCCTGGATTACGTTTTTTTGATCACGAGCGTTCACTCACTGAGTCGATGAGAGGGATTAGCTTGTCCTGTTGGGGGGTGCAGGGGGAACTGCTGAGCTGGACTGGAGTCTGTGCACAACATTGCTTTGTGTGCTGAGACTGATGTTTATTCTGCAGTTGCATTTGGAAGCCAAAGCGAGATGTATTGGAAACACCTGTGTGCGTCAAACCTTAAAAAGTGTAGAACTGTGAAAGTAACAGTTTGCGAGCTCTTTAACAATGCTCTGTGCTGTTAGACTGAGTAGAACAAAGGATACAAAAGAGCTTTGACCTTGTCTGCATTACATTCTCTGAATGGGTTTTATTTTAGTGATAGTGATCAGTCCTCCTCAAGGCGAAAACCAGACCGACTATTGCTTTCTGCGCTGGTGATGTCACATAATTTCTGCAAGGATCTCAAGATAAACAAATATTAGTTGACTGAAACTCATGAAGGTGTAGCTGTAGGCTTGGGATGGGCAGGAGGACTGGATCAACTTTGCCTTAGGCCTGGGCGATTAATCAAATTTTGTTGTCAATTACAATTTTGGCTTGCAAAGATTATTGAGATATAGGTATTATTGTGCTGCAAGTTTTGCAATGATGCTCTCGTTTCGAGTGCACGCCTTTCTTTCACAACAGTGCACATGATCCTGAAAATCTATTTTTCATACTGTACTGTACATTGTAGTGTTGTGATACAGAATATGCTTACATCCATAAATCAGTATCAGCCAAAATTGTAATATCAGTGCAAAATAATGCAGTTTCTATATTTAAAGCGAGTTTTTTGGGCAGTGTAGAGTAGTGCTTGTTGTTTGTCGTTTCTCCGATCACAAATGCAGACATGGTTTTGTTTACGCGGCGCGATGCAACGCAATGCGTAAAAAGACAGTATAAGTCATTATAATCCTTAATTATGTCCCCACTGGATGCAACGAATGCCTCGTTTGTAATGGGTTTTCATGTTTTTGAATCATTGCTCTGGCCTGACACGGCATCATCACAGTATGGTAAGGGGCGTAACATTTCCATCTCACGCTTGAGGTATTCGGCCAATCACAACGCACTGGACAGCTGGCCAATCACAGCACACCTCGCTTTTTCAGACCGATGAGCTTTGTAAAAATCGACGCGTTTCAGAAAGGCGGGGCATAGAGGAGAAACAATAATGTACAGTATGTGGAAAATAATGTGTGTTTTGAACCTTAAACCGCATAAACACATTTCATTACACCAAATACACAAAATACTGTTCTTTTTAGCAGCATCATATGACCCCTTTAATACAGCTGCAGAATGATTATGGATAAAGGGGATAAACTAGAACACGTTTACTGACTTTTGTACACTCTCATATTCACTATTCACTATTCATATTCATGTCAGCGCATGCTAATCTCTGCTACACATAGGGTGCACAACCTCTCTCTGATATTAAACATGATAGTAAGACGGACAGAGAAGGAGTTGCAACAACAGCTGTCTGCAGGCTCCAGGCTTGGGAAAAGGCCTCTCGTCTTACAAACAGTGTGGGATGGTGACAGAGAAATGAGACCTGTGCTTTTCATCTGCCACTGGAGAGACGCTATATGCTATATTAGTGTGTGAGGCATAAGGATATCTGCTTATAAACTGTCAGCATGAGCCCCTACTACAATATACACGACTGCATGAATGCATCCCACACATGTGAGACAGCAGCAACTTTATTTACAAAGACTCATTTTTATAGCCTATTGAAAACAATGCAGAGAACTGATTTTTTTTAGCCTTAAAGGCTAATAATGTTTTGAGCAATACTCTAAACACTGTGTCTTATGACATTGCATTGTTTGTTTGATCCTGACCAGCCTGACACAGCAACACTGAACCAATGGAGCGAGTTTGGGGTGGACTGTTTATTGGATCATTTTTGATGTTTGGTTTGGTGT